GCTTTTTATCAAACTAAAACCAAATTTTACTTTGTTTTATTTCTTACAAACTCTTGTTACAAAATAGAAACCAATTTAAAACCCCTCCTTCTTGAATCATTAAACCATTGAATGACAAACATCAAATATTCTCATCAATCTCTATGGATACGATAAAACACTCCCGACAAATACTTCTAACAATATCCTATTAAAAGCTCTCAAGATAATGGAAACTCTTAAGAAGAATTCTTAAGGATATAATTAGGTCACCTTTATTTAGACCGAACCTCTATAGTTTGTCGGTGTCTTTCTCTTTCCTTTGTCTATTTTACTTTAGTATCCATCCATTATTTTTCCATTTATTTCTTTATTGAACTGATTATTTATTTGTTTGTTTTACAAATGATTTTAAACTCTGATTTTTACAATTTTTTATTTTATTTTAATCTATGTTTTTCAAACATACACAATTCACCCCCTCTTGTGTATAGAGTCACATGTTCATCAAGTGGCATCTTAGCCTAACTCATGTTTAAAAACTAATCGTTTCAGGATGATGATGACTTCAAACATTTATTTCAACATGAGGACTTTCCTAAACACACATTGTTGTTTAATGGTGATATGTTTGATATATGTAAATCTAGAATAAAGTTACTAATTGAAAGTTTTAATCTTGAGCAGTGGAAAATGATAATAAGTAGTTCATTTATTCATACTCACTACATTAATTGTGAAGTAATAGACTCGTTTTCTTTTGGACCAATGAAAACAAGAGAAATTTTGAACTTGATTTAAAAGCTACAAATTTTTTTATTGTGTCTTTGAGTGAAAATCAATTTCTTTATGTCCTTAATTGTAATTCTACAAAAAAAAAGTGTGGGACACTCTTGATATTACATGTGAAATCTCTCCAAGTATCAAACAAGAGGGAACGAGCACACGAGCCCATGAAGTTGAAACACCAAATCAATGTGAATGTTATTTTCATCGATGTTTTTTAACCATTGGAAGTCATGGAAGACATTTTAGAACTTTCGTGACTAAATGTATAAGAGTTCACAATTGAAACCAGAAACTTGATCCAATCCTTAAATTAGAAGATGTACATGTTCATGATTTTCAGGAAAGATCTAGGAAGAAAGAAATTATCGATAAAATTAACGAGTTGATTCAACTTTTGAAATATGAAGGAATGAGCTCAAGAAACCTAGAATAGTCATTAGCAACTTCATAGAAAAAGTGAAGAAGAAGAAAATTCAATTCCGGTAGTTTGATTTGAAAGAAAAATCTCGGTAGACGAATGATCCTTAGAAGATTTATCGTCTAACAACGAAAAAAATTCATCAATAAGAATATATGTTTCAATCATAAATAAGATTAAAGAAGCTTCATCCAGCAAAATCTTTGAAAGAACAAATGAGGAATAAGTTTCAACAAGCGAGATCTTGTGAGAGACTTAATGACAATAAGTACTCTTGAAGAATTAACTTCAAGTAGAATCTTTAAAGATCCTTCATATCTAGTATCCGATGAAGAAGATGAACATTTTTGCTTGAAAGTCTCTGACGAAGAAGATGGTTTTGACGTGACAACTTTATTGCACAAGCAATTGTTTAAATTAAATGCTAAGTTAATTGAGGAACATGATAAGATCGAAAAGATCAATGTAATACATAAAGATTACATTGAGTTTCTAGAGAATAGAAATGGAACTTTATTATGAAATATCTAATATTATAAACCAAACTAAGAATTATGAAACATGTGTTTCAATGAAGAAGGAAGTCAAGGATTAACATGAACATGAAGAAATTGAATCGTCTTATTTATAAATGTTCTTTCTATGATAAGCATGGACAATTAGAGCTTTTTTGCTATGATAAAATAAGGAGGTCTAAAGGTAATAACTTTAGACCTATTATATTTACTAATGCACAAGGATTCAAAAGGATTTGGGTACCAAAAGTGAAAACCTAATACATTTTGCAAGAAAACTTTCTAGTTATTATAAAGCCTTAGTGCAAATTAAATAAAGTTGGGAAAAGAAGGTGTATACCTTGAGTATACAATAAAAGGTCTTTCCTAATAGTGTTTGATGATCATGATGCTTGTGATCAAATTATTGTCGTTGATGGTTTCTTTTTCAACGAACATGATCAAGGTGTTCATGTTGAGGATGCTTCTCAACAACTGTGATCATATTGATGAGTATATAACCTCTTAATAGGTTGATATGATAAGTCTGTAATAGAATTATCAATGTTATGGTTTGAACATACTCTCATATCAAACTATTCATAGAGAAGGATCCACGATGGTGTTTTTCATTCCCTCGAAAGAGGGAGTTTTCTCAAGTTGGCTTAAGGTTTAAGGTAGTACACTTTATAGAGGTTGTAAAATTAGAAAACTATGATTAACCCTCTAAATAAGTAATTTATTAATTTCTTAGATAATTATAATTATTTTTGCTAGCCCTTGGTTGGTTTATTAAGCATTTTTTAGAAAGGGGTGCAATCTGAATAAATAGGGGATGTCAAAAGCAATATGGCAAAGCCAAATCTCAACCCAAGACTCAAAAGATCAAGAAGGTTGAAACAAGGGAGACAATCGATTGGCCTAATCGATTGGATGATGTATATGTTTCAAATTTCAACTAAGATATGATTGTATCTTCTTCTTAAATCAAATCAAATTAAAGCATTGATGAAGAATGTTTGAAATCTCCATATTCAATGGCAAATAATCGATTGTTCCCCAAAATAATTGATTATCACACTTGTTATGAAAATATTGGCTTTCAATATTTTACGAGTTAATTTCTTATAGATTTTATGGGGTATTTATCATGCTCACGGCTCAGAAACTCCACTATATAAATGTACTTATATTCCCTTCTTTATGCATCATCTCTTCTCTTTTCTCTACTTTATCTCTATTTTGCATGAGTCCTTGCTTGTTGCTACTACTATCACCTTTCTATAGCTCCATCAAAGAGTGTGTCTAGTGAAAATCCATCTTCAATTAGGTCTCCCTTAAAAGAATTCTCGTCAGAGAATTCAAAAAATATGTCCAAATGAAAAGTGATTTGGCCAACTAGTATGGAACTAACATTTCTCAGAGAATTCAGACCCTATGAGAATATCAGCAGAGAATTGCTCATAAAATTAATTACAAAAATCAAGGATCAAATGTTTTCAAGTCTTGTAAGAGAGTTCTACTCAAACCTTTAGATTGAAGAATATACTTCCCAAATCTAAAAATAAGATCACTAGTTATGAGATTTAGAAGAAACAACAATTAAATTTATCTTATTTTAAAGAATTGAGTTGTTTTATTTTGAGTACATCTTAAAGAGAGCGATCTGCTTTACGACTCAACCTAATAACTTTTTTATGACATTTTTTAAAATCGTAAAATATTATATTTACTCATAAATAATTGTGGATATATTTTTTAAATTATATGATAAATTGACATAATATTGAGATTTAATTGCTTGTTTATACTAAAATTTTTTATCAGTACTAGAATATTTCATTTGAAATAAATTATAAGCAAGGATGTTATTTAAAATTTTGAAATATTTGGTTAAAAATTAAGACTACATACTTTAACTTTTTAGATATTATTTTTATTATATAACTTAACTTTTTTTATGGATTTTTATTCAATTTAAACTAAGAATGAATTAAAAGTGTAACTCAACAATATAACAATATAAATCTTTTATATTTTGACTAAAAACTCTATCATCTTATTATAAAACCCTACTTTAATAAATGAATAATATTGTAATTTGGCTTATTTATCATTCATTATATTTTGTCTCCTAGGTTAATCTTCAATGTTCACTTTGAACTCTTATCTTAAAAAAAAATTCATATAAATGCCTTGACTGTAACTTGACTGTCTCAACAAACACTTTATATAGGAATCATATTTCTTCTACTTCTTATATCCATGCTTCACACGTTTCTCTCATAAATGAAACTAAAATATGTAGGCACTAACTTTTCATTCACTATCACTATAAAAGAGAAATGGGAAGTTTTTGAATATTGATGTCCATTATGTGGATGGATGATGCTTTACTTCTTTTTGCTCACTTGCATACAAAGGATGTCTAACGAGGACACACATATATGCAACACAATGCCTAAAGTTAAGAACAAGGTAAAGTTGTACACATGCTAAATTGTTTCATTAGCAATTAAAGGCTATTTTGTGTTTACAAACTTATGCAATGGAGGTTATACTAAGGGAGGTGGCAGCTTCTTAACTTGCTAGCTCTAATTAAGTCTAGTTTGTCTTGTATTATAAAAAAAATAAAAATAATTTGTTTGGAATTTTTTCTTGACTTAGCAAATATGTATGTGTGATATTAATTTGATGAGTGTGAGAGTTTTTTTTATAAGCAATTGTATTAATATAAGGGTGTATAAAGGGGTACACCACCCAAACAAACACCCAATCTCCAGCTAAAACACCAACAACAAAGCTATTACACTAACATCTACAAGAAATCAGTTAGATTTTTATACCAATCATAAGAACTACATTTACTTTTAGATGATGCATAAACATTTAACCACCATCAAGAATTGTGAATAACTTTATGAGTAATATCAATTGGATTGCCAACAACATCACTGAATAAGATCTGATTCTTGTCCACCATATAGTCCAGCAAGCAGTTATCCAAATAAAACAAGCAGACTTTGACAAGCTTTGGGAGACCATTTGCGAGAACCAACGCAACATATGATGACAACAATCATCTTCCTCAAACCATTGAATCTCAACCCAGTCTGATAACATTCTCCAAACCACACGAGTAATCAGGTAAGAGCAAAAAACATGATTAACATCTTCAACATCATAAAAGCAAAAAAAACACAAACCTTTTCTTGAGGATTAAAGATTACTCCCCTAGCCACTAAATTGATCCTTGTAGGGAGTCTGTCCAACAACATTCTCCAACCAAAAACCTTGGCTTTCAACGGTATCTTAGTTTGCTAAAGTAATTTTAGAGTAGTCTTGGAAGTAATCTCCAACTCAACAAAATGTCTTGCTTGCAGAAGAGTAATATAACAAGAATTCACAGTGAATGAATGATCTGATCCACTTTTCCACATAAAACTATCAGCCAAACCCAAGCCACACTTAATATCATATAGCATTTCCATCAAATCCCTGAGATTTTGTAACTGCCTCCCATCTAGATTTCTATCTTCAAAATCTAACTTCCACTGCCAATCATTTCCAACCCACACACCCATGTCTCTAGCAGCCCCCAACTTGCTCATAGACACTTCAAATAGATCATTGAATAAGATCTTTAATGGGATAGGGCCTAGCCAACAAGCATTCCAAAAAGACACAAAGGATTCATCACCAACTTTATATGATAGTTGCCTTAGAAATCCTTCTTCTTCCTCCACATCTGTCAGATCCACCACATCCTTCCACCACAAAGATTCAAAGCAAACTTTCCTTAGGCCCTTTTTCAATAGTATCGTACTCTTTAAGCACCCATACCTTGATTAAAGTATCCCCTTCTAGATAAAATTTAGTTCGTGGATGAATTCCCTTCCAGATAGCATTTTGAAATTTATTATTGACTTATCAAATATGTATGTGGGATATTAATTTGATGGGTGTGACAACTAGAAGTGAATTCGGCTAAGTAAGCCTGATTCAATGAGAATTTAGGGGTTCTTCATTACTGTAGTGATATACTTGTGAATGGTTTACTAAGGACGAGGAGACCATGCCTCCAACAAGGGGCGACGAAATCCTTGTCGCTACTGCGAAAATCGGCGCCGGCTGAACAGAAGAGTCGCCACCGTGCGTTATTTATCCCACGGGAGGGAAAGGAAACGCTCAGAGTAAACCTCGCACAACACGGGAAAGGTATGGTCATCGCAACCAAAACCTGGATTCGGGAGTCGGTTACGCAAGGGGAAGGTATTAGCACCCCTCACGTCCATCGTACTCGATGGGATCCACGCTTGTTTTCGGGTATGGATTGTTATTCTATCTAAACTATAGGTCAAGGGTGAAAAAGAAAATAAAATGAAAATAAAAATGACTCGGCAAAGTATCGCACTTTATGCCTACGTATTCCCGCCTGGAACGAGAAATCAGAGTCAACGTAGTTCGCCTACCTACGGGAAAGGAGGGGAAGGTTGCTCGCTAGGATATCGCATCCTATGCCTACGTACTTTCATACAGCATGAAAGATCAGAGCAAACGTAGTTCGGGCCACGTACGACACAAGCTTGTCTTGGTTGATTTTATTCCTTCTGAAAAAGGTATTCTTGATTAACATTCCCAGCGGACAAAAATGACGTTTTGATGAGTTCACATTCTTTTACGGAAGAAGTGTCTTTTATTGTGTTTGAAATTTTATTGTATTTTTCTGTTTGTTTTTGAGGAAGAAGAGATAGAACTCTAACCTATGGTTGCGAAGGGAAACAAACTAACCTAGTGTTATCATGCATGGGTTAAGACCTAATGTCTATCATGCTCCTCTCTTGCACAGAGAGAAACAGAGATCCTAAGGGATAGGCAGAAACAGAAACAATATCAGATATATATAGTAAAACAGTAAAATGCATGGATGCAACAGTACAAGCGAGGCAAGGGAGTCCCACTCAACCTCGAACCTAGAAAACAATAGGCAAAAGTGAACAGACTTCACTTTCAACCCAGCAGGGTAGACAGCAAACAATACAGTCCAGAAAACCAATCAATACATCAGCAATAAAATACAACAGCAAAAGAAACAGCATCAGCAGCTCTGAATCAACATCTGGCTTCAAGTAATCTCCAATCAGCTACAGGCTTCAACAAGCATCAATCTCCATCTTCATGACCTCCAGGCAAGGGCTTTGATCATCAGTCTTCTATCTGCAATGGCTTTTCTTCAAGCTCAAACCTCCAGGATGAGGGATTAGTCACAAGAGTGAATTGGGTGTTAAGCAATCAGTTGACTACCAAGGGTGGTGAACAGACTGCTTCTAACACAAGAGACATTTTCTCTCAAGAGTTCTATCTCATAGACACTATCACCAAGCCTTCCAAAGGAAGGGGGTGAGTGTCTTAGAGAGACTCTGAATCACAGAGAAGAATGGATGCAGACAAGGCAATCCATGTTTGAGAAACAAACTTTCTAACCTAGAGCTCTGCCTAGCTCCTAAACCCTAGTTCCTCAGCATCTGCTAGCAAGAATCTTCTCTTCAACTCTGGAAGTTGATCTTCAATCTCTGGATCTCCAATGGTCTTCATCTTCTCAAGTCTTCAGCTCTCCTAAGTCCCCAGACAACCCCAATACCCAAGCAAGCAAGCAATAATCCCCAGAGGGCACACCACACCAGTCAATCAGACATACACAGAGTATTAATAGCAGTAGGGGAGTCCTGACTTTTCCTCTAAGGGATCTAATAACTACCCATATCCCCTATAGTCCCATAACTAATCTAGTTAAACCCTAAGTCCTAAGGGAAAGAATCAAACCTCCTAAGTCATCACCTAAAAAACCCTAATTTTATCCATGTTGTTCACACCTAAACTAAACACCTAAATTTAATTTCTAAAAAAGGGAACTAAATTGTATCTACAAGTTTAATGTCTAAACTAAACAGCCTAAAAAGAATGGACAAAAAATATTAAAGCATCTAATAGAACAAAAATTAACAAAATCATGCATGAAATGAAACTATTTAAAATGCTATTTATTCAGAAAATATGGGAAAAATATCAAATAAAAAATAAAATTCAATTTTTATTTTTTATAATTTTCTAGACATCCTAAAGAAAAATATGTAAAAAGAATGAATTAAAAATATGCAATTTCTAATTTGTTATGAATTTTCAAAAATGAAATGTTGAAGTTCAAGTATACTACTTAACCCTAATTAAAATATCCTAAGTTCAATTATCTAAACTAACCAAATTTTATTCTAACAAATCTAGTAATAAATTCTGGGAATACTACAATTCAATATTAATCACCACAAAAAAGAATGGGAAAAAAATCTATTTCTAAGTGTAAGAACAAAAATCTACAAGATCATGTATGAAATAAAACCTTCAAAATATGCATTTATTTGTAAAATATGGAAAAAATGCGAAAAAAATATAAAATGCAATTTTTATATTTTTTTAATTTTCTAGACATGTTAAGGAAAATATTAAAAAAAGAATGAGTTAAAAATATGCATTTTCCATTTAGTTATGAATTTTTGAAGTTTAATAAAATCTAGGCCGCTGGATTGAGGGACAAAGTCAAATATCCCAACATGAATCAATGGTAGAGATTATCTCTTCTACCTTGGACACTTAGGGTTTCTAAAAAAAAGAACTCATGCAAGCAACTTCCACCCTCTCTAACTCTCTCATTTCTCCACCATTTTTCACGATCCAAAGATGAAAACTCATCTACTCTTCTCCCTCTACACAGCCATGGTACTAGAATTCTCTAACTCTCCCTCAAGAAAGAAATACGAAGGCTACAAGGGGTAGTCACCATTTTCGCACCTTAGTTTGCATGGTAATCAAATGGTCTCATATTAACCTATCATGTACTACATCTTATGGGGATTATCCTAAGCCTAATACCTAAGATTATAGTACACTAAATCGTGAGTTCTTGATCATTAAAGAATTGACACCATGGAAGCAAACCTCACAAACAGCCCTTAAACTCATCATACAACATCCCTAATTGGTCTCTATTAGATTTCTCCTAACAACATGCTTGAACTATGGATAAATAGAGAGTTTCATGAGAAAATGCATACCTTGCAAGTGATGATGGTGATGATGGTTCTCCTCCAATTCAGACCTTGCCAATTGCTTTGTATGGTCTTTGATGAATGTTGAAGCCTCTGGTTGCAGTAGTTCTTGTTCTATCTTCTTGAATCAACCTATTCAACTCTTCATGCAAGTTGGAGTGAAGTTGGAGATCTCATAATCCAGCCACGAATTCTTGAGCCTTTCCTTTGCCAAATGCTCAATGTTGATTATAGATGATGATGATGATCAGAATTGTAGTGATTGATGGTGTTTTAATGGAGTTTGGAATGAAAATGCAATTTTGGAGTGAAGGAATCAAAGTGTAGCATGCAAGCTTTTAGAATCACCAACCAATGCATGGAGTCACTCTAGGGCTTATATAGATGAGAATAGAAATGTGTGGAAGTTTGTAGAACCTTCCATGAAGTTTCTAGAATGTATCACGTAATGAGATTTTGAATTTGTCATCTTGAGTGAATCTCATGCCATCTCATGATAAACCATGCAATCTTACTTAAATTCTCCTCATATGGTATTATGACATGAAAATAAGGTCTTACAAACCTTTATGTAGCATTTTCTCATCTTTCCTTTTGATGCCTTAAAGTGCAAATAACAAATTTACAAAGAAACTCCAATTTTTAAGCCTAAACTCAAAAATGTGGCTAAACCATTGTTCTCAAAATGATGTTTCCAATCAAAATCATCTATCATATGCCCCATTTTGGATTTGTAGATCTCTCAAACCAAAATTCAATTCCAACTTTTTCAACTTATAAGCCATTTACAAGCCATTTTGACCATTTTAAAATATCCATGCTCCATGCATTTTCAAACTCTCACAACATCTTATCTAGACTTAAAATCCCATTTTGAGCAACTTTGATGTTGGGAAGTTTTCCATTTGAAGCTTCCTTGTATGAGTTTTAAGCATATGCTATGAATGACCTGTAATCACCAAATTACCAAAATACCCCTGTCTTGCACAAGCCATAAGTAGAGTTCCCTAAATCATATGAAGGCATACCATACCTTTTTGGAAAGGGGAGACAATGAGGAACACCTCTATTGCTTGTTCAAAGTCCATTTGAATTATCCTTGAGGGCCAAAAGTTTGTCAGAAGACAGTCAACTTGCACAGACAAATTTCAGTGCCATCTGGTGACCCCTAACTTGCAAGAGCTATAACTTGAGTTCTAGAAATCTCCTTGATGTCTTCCACCACTCAAATTAAAGGTCTTGAGATCCTATACAAGTTTCATGTTGGCCAAGGATCCATTTGAAGCTTGCATTTTGACTTATTTTGCTTGGAAGTTTGACCTAAACTAGGGAATTTTACCTAGAAACCCTAATTTAGAACCTCCTCTTCTCCTTGATTTCTCTTGATTTATTCTTAGCATAACAACATATCTTTATTCTCCATGTCAAATTATGAACCCCACATCTCTCCAATAGCCCTTAATGCCTTTCAATCAGTCAAT